GTTTGGTATTACATCTGTTAAAAGTTGTATATCTAATAAAGAAGAATCATTTAAAAGAGAATCTTTTTCGTATTTTTTTAAATATGTGTGTATTTCTTTTTATATTTTTTAATAATAAAAATCTTTTGTTTATTCTACTTCTTTATTATCTTTTTAATTATAATTTTTAATTGTTTAGTTTTATTAAGAGTCCTTAATTAAACTTTAAATTTAATTATTATTTTCTTAAAAAACAGTTCGACTCTTAAACTTTATTTAATTATCGTCTATTAAAGATGGATTTTTATAATAAACAATTGATTTTAAGGTTTACAAATTACTCAAGTGTAGACTTTATACCCTTTTTTGACAATGAGAATTTCCCGTAGTATTTTGTTAATTTGATTTTGTAATTTTTTAAAAAGAAATATTTTTTCGATTCTTTATATTATTATTAGAAAATAAAATCGTATTATTATTATTATTATTATTATTATTATTATTTACTGGTTTAATGTTATTTATTTAATTTGAATTATTTTAGAATAGGTTTTTAAGAACTTTTTGTGAATAGGTTAAACTATTATTTTTTTATTATACATCTTGATACTTTTGTTATATTTGAGTTTTAATGTTGATATAATTGTTTTAAATAACATTAGAAATACTTTTATTATAATTGTATTTATAACTTATACCTTTGTTTTTTAATTTTATATTTTTCTTTTTTTTATACTGTATTTTGGGTTTTTGAAATTTATTTGTTTAGATCCACTTTCAAATAACATAAATGTGAAAATTATTTTTAATTTTATAATATTTAAAAATACAATAAAAAGATTAAAGTTAATTAAAGAAAAAATAAAATAAAATTTAATAAAATTATGATGTAAAAACTAAAAAAAAATAAAAGATTTTATATTTTTTGATTATATAAAATAAGATTATAGAAACAATATAAAATAAAACATTTATTTTTATATTAATTTAAAATTTTATATATATATAAATATTAATAAATATATATATATTATATATTTATATTATTATTTATATATAATATTTTTATATTAATACTATATAAATTTATCAAAAATATATATATTATTTTTAAAAAATAATATATTTCAGGCATAAATAATATTATTTTTTTTTAATTTATTTTTAATTAATTTTAATTCAATTTTTTACATTTTTTTTTATAAAAGCTTATACTTATTAAATATTCAACTATTTTTTAAATAATTTCATAATATTATTATAATTTTTTTATTACTTATTTTATTTATAATTGAATATTTTTATATTTATTAATATATTTATTTTTGATTATATAAAAAATTAATTTATTAAGAAAAAAATCTTTATAATTAAAATCGTTTTTAAATATAATTTATTTTATATGTTTTTTTTAAAATTAATTTAATAATTTTTAATTATCTGAATATTCTTTTTATACCTTAAATTTAGTCAAAAACAATAAAGCTTGTTTAAAATGTGTTTATTATATTTTTATATTTTTTTCTTTTTAAATTTTAGACAAATAAATTTTTTTCTATTAACTTTTTTATATTTTATTTAAATTTTATAAAATCTTTTATACATTTTTAATTTTAAACAATATATCAATATTTTCTCATATATTAATATTATTAAAATGAATGAAATAATTATGTATTATGAAAAAATTACATATAAATATACTTTTTTATAATAATAAATATAATTATTATTATAATCTATAAATTATTTATATTTAATTATAAACATATTTTAATTATTTATTATATTTAATTCATTTTATTTTATATTTTATCATTTTTTTTTCATATAAAATCTTAATTTTTTTCTTATATAATTGAATACGTAAAAAATTAATTTTATACTAAAATAATTTATATATATACAAAACTAAGTTTAAATAAATATTAATTTATTAATATATTTTTTATAATTTAAATAGTTATTTAGATGTATTTTATTTCTCTAATTACTTTCATTTCTATATGTAAGGCGCCTATTACTTTCTATTAGTTTCTTATAATAAAGTAACGATGAAAAACATGTCTATGTTATACTGTAGTTATAATTTTAATTTTTTTTGTTAATTTTGTTAATTTTATTTTTTTATTTTTTAAAATTTTATTTTATTTACTTTTTTAGTTTATATAACTAAATCTTATTAGAAAAATAAAATAAAACACATTTAAAATGTATTTAAAATATAAAATTTGTTTTTAGATATAAAAATTATTTTACATTTTTAAAATTTACAATCTTTTTATATACACAATAAATATTTATTATATTATTTATAATTGAAATAAATTAGTTTTTAATAAAAACCTATTATTTTTTACTTATCTTATTTTTAAAATTAAACATTTTATTTTTAATTATTCATTTTTAATTTTAGTTTTAATCCGTTACAAAGAACTTTTCTAATTTTGATTATTTTAAATTATAAACAATTTATTTTTATTATTAGCCTTATACTGGCATTGTAAATTTTTATGCAAATTACAAATTAATATCTCTTAAAGCTGTTCTTTTTATATTTTTTTTATTTTTTTAATTTTATTAAACTGAAATTTTAAGGACATCATTTAAAGAATTTTATTTAGAATTAAAATCATTTTCTATATAAGAATATTTTAATTAATTACTTTAACTTTTATCATTTTAAAAATCAAATTTAAAGCTTTTATTGGAATGTATTTTTTAATTATTATTTTCATTTTCATTTTTATTAATTTTTAATTCATTTATTGTTTTTTTTAATTCAGATATTTCATTAAGTAGTTATTGCTTTAATTAAAATTCTGCAAAAAAGATTTCCTAAAAATATTATTTTTATTAATCTTCATTATTTATATTTTCTAAAATTTTTTTTATGCTTATATATTTATCATCATATTTTTCAAGATTATTTTTTAATTCCTATTTTTTATAATAAAAAACATTTAAATAAAAAAAAAACATATTATTACAATAAATTCATCATATTTTTTTGCTTTAAATTATAATTAACATATTTAATTGTTCAAATTTTAAATTAAAGAATTTTGTTTTCCTATTTTTTCATCTTATTGTTTTTCTATAATTTTACATTAATTAACCCTTTAGTTTAGTATATTAAGTTCTTTTAACTATTCATTAATTTTTTTTTGAAAGCAAATATAATTATCTTATAACAAAATTAATTTATTATAGAAAAAGTTGAATTTTTTTTTTATTAAATTTACCACAATTATTTTTTATTATTTATTCTTAGTTTTTGTCTTTTTCTTCCATTAAATTGTATTTTAATTAGATTATAGTTTTATAATTGCTTTCGTTTCTGCAATTTGGACATTTAGTACTTACTCTATAATTTTCATTAATACAATGTAAATGAAAAACATGACCACATTTTGTTGAGGCTAAATTATTATCTAATTCTTATAAACATATGGGACAAGGAGGAATTTCAAGTTTATTTTATTTACTCATTTGTAAAAAGTTTTATTTAATTTTTTGAAAAAATAAATATTTTTTAATTTATTTATTATATTGTATTTATTGATTTTTTGAAAATTAAATACAATTTCTTTTTTAATTACTTTAATTCGAAATTAATGAAATCAATTAATAAAAAAATGTAATTACAAAATATATTTAAATACTTTTTTTTTTATTTATTTATATTTATAAATTTTATTTATTTAATTAATAATTGATAAAAAAATAATTCAAATATTTTTATATTCAATTTCAATTTTTTTTAATGAATAAAAATATACAAATCTAAACTAAACTAAATTAAAATAAAATTATAAATCTAAAACATTTAAACTAAATATAATATATATAAAAAAATAAATACTCATTAATTTTTGATAAAGATTAAGAATTAAATGGCACATTATTTATTTTTATTCATTATAATATAAAATAATTTATAACATATTTTTTTGTAAATAAATAATATTTAAAATTTAAAAATCAATTTAATTTTTTTAAAAAATAATAATATTAATACTAAAACATAATTATTAATATAGCATTATACCAAATAAAAAAAATATTAAAATTAATTTTCTATAATAAAATTGTAAATGTAAAAATATTATTTTATTAGAAAAATAAATAAAAAAAATATTAAAATTAATTTTCTATAAATAAAATTCTAAATAAAAAAATATTATTTTATTAAAATTATAATACAATTATGAAAAAATAATTTAATTTGTTTCATTAATATACTAAATAATAATAAAAAATTAAATAATTAATTATTAAATTGCTTTAAATAGTTATAATAAAAATGTTTTATATATTAATGTTGTAAAGTATGTAATAACTTTTATAGAAGTACTTAATTTCTGATTTTAAATATAATTTTTTGTAAATTGAAAATAATAATGTTTTTAAAAGAAAAAAATAATTAATATATCTTAATATAATTTAAAAAATAATTTGGATAAAATTTATCAGATTACCAAATATTTTTTTTTTATATATTTTTTTTAAATAGATATATTTATAAATTTTGATTTTAAGAAGAAATACATAATAATTACTTTTTATTACTCAAAATATAATTGAAAAATAAAATGTATTTATATATTATATCCTTCCTCGTTATTAAAAATAAATAAAAAAAATAAAATTAAAACAATAACAAACAAATAATTGTCTATAAATGGAAGTTTTGGAGTAATCTAAAGTAACAAAAACTAAAGATTTATATTTGAATTTATTTTTATTTTTAGATTTAATAATATTAATAATCTGATTTTTTTATTTCTATTGCATATTATTTTTTAAGTTATATCAATCAAATATTATTTAAAACCTAATTTAGAACAATATTTCCATAATTAATTGAAAAAAAATATATTATATATAAAATCTTAAAATTATAAATTAAATAATTAATAAATTGAAATAGAATACTTTAATACAAACTATTTTTTTAAATTTTTTTTAAAAAAATAAATAATTACAAAACACAATTTTTTTTTTAAAAAAATAATAAAATGAATTCAAATTAAAATAACAAAAAATCAGATATCGAAAGTGGTAATAGAATCCAACATAACATAAAATCAGAATAATCTTATATGAATGAAAATAAACTATAAAATAAAGTAATATAAGATTAAAAAGACGAAAAAGAAAATGATATCTCATTTTTTAATCTTTTTAGATATGCAAATAAATAAGATAAGATTTTGATTATAATAGGATGTATAGCGTCTGCTGCTAATGGTATTCTTATGCCTTTATTTTCTATTATTTTTGGAGAAATGACAGACTCATTTAGTCCTAATAGTTCTCCCAATTAAGTTGTAAAATCTGCTGGTAATTAATCACTTAATTTTCTTTATTTAGCTATTGGAGCATTTACTTTAAGCTTTGTATTTTTATTTTTTTTAAATAACTAAATAAATATTTTTTTCTATAAAAAAAGTTAATTATGAGTTGTTGGATTATATCAGGAGAAAGATAATCTATATAATTAAGAAAAGAATATTTTTAAGCTATTATGAGATAAGAAGTAGGATGGTTTGATATGAATAATCCTAATTAATTAGCTACTAAAATAGCTTAAGAAATAACAGCTGTATAAGGCGCTATAGGGGAAAAAATAGGTACATTTATTATGACTATAACTATGACTTTAGGAGGTTTTGTAGTAGGATATAGTAGAGGATGGCTTTTTTCACTTGTTACTACTTCAGCTTTACCTGTAATTTCTTTTGGAGCTGTTTGCTTTGCAATTGTTCTTTAAACTTCTTAGAAAAAAATATAATAATCTTATGCAATAGCTGGTGGATTAGCTGAATAGAGCTTAAATGCAATCAGAACTGTCAAATCTTTAGTTGGCGAAGAGTATGAATTGAAAAATTACTCTGTAGGGCTTATTAAGGCATTTAAAATTGCCTGCTCTTATGGTATTTTGAGTGGATGTGGATTAGGTTTTTTATATTATAATATAAAATAATATTTTATTGTTTTAAAGGTATAATGTTTTGTACTATGTTTTTAGATTATTCTCTTAGTTTTTGGTATGGATCTAAATTAATTGGAGAGTAAAAATTTAATGAAACATTCAGTAGAGCATACACTTAAGGAGATGTTTTTGTGGTTTTCTTTTCTATTATGATTGGTGGATTTTCTATGGGATAAGCAGGACCTTGTTTAAATAATTTCTCTTAAGGAAAATAAGCTGCAAAATAAATATTTAAAGTTATTGATAGAAAGCCTTTAATAGTAATGCCTGAAAATCCAATAAAAATAAATTCTATTTTAGGAAATATAGAATTTAAAGATGTCGAATTTAATTATCCAGCCAAATAAGATATAAAAGTATTGAAAAAAATAAATTTAAAAATTAAAGCAAATTAAAAAACTGCACTTGTTGGAGAATCTGGATGTGGAAAATCAACTATTATTTAATTAATTGAAAGATTTTATGATTCTGATTAAGGACAAATATTTATTGACGGTCATGAAATAAGAACTTTAGGTTATTTAAAATAAATATTATTATTTATATTAAATATGTTTATAGATTATAAATGGTTAAGATAAAATATTGGATATGTAGGATAAGAACCAGTATTATTCGCAACAACAATAAGAGAAAATTTAAAATTAGGAAAGTCAGATGCAACAGAATAAGAAATGATTGAAGCTTTAAAATAAGCAAATGCTTGGGAATTTATTGAACATTTAGAAAATAAATTAGACACATATGTAGGAAATTCAGGAAGTTAAATTTCTGGAGGATAGAAATAAAGAATATGCATTGCAAGAGCTATATTAAAAAATCCTTAAATTCTACTTTTAGATGAGGCAACTAGTGCCTTGGATAGAAAAAATGAATCTCTTATCTAAAAAACATTAGATGAGATATCTAAAGGAAGAACAACAATCGTTATTGCTCATAGATTAAGTACAATATAAAATGCAGATACTATTATTGTATTAGATAAGGGAAATTTAGTAGAATAAGGCACTTATTCAGAATTAATTAATGCTAAAGGAAAGTTTGAAAGCTTGGCTAAAAATTAAATAGAAAAGGAATAAAAAGATTTAGATTAAGATAATGATTTAGACAATTAAGAATAAATAGTTAAAGATTAAAAAAATAATTTGGAAAATCAAGGTCTAAAAATCAGTTAAAAAAATATTTCTAAAAATTAAAGTATTAAAAAATAATATAATAAATATATTTAAATAAATATAGTCGATAATTAGAACAATCATATTGATAAATAAGTATATTTGGAAAATTCTTAAGACCCGAAAAGAAAGCTAACAAAATAAGAAATAGAATTCAATAAAAAACACGAATAAGCTGTATTAAAGAGACTTTATTAATATAATAAAGAAGAGGCCCCATATAAATATATAGGGTTAATTTTTGCTTTATGTAATGGTACCATATTTCCTCTTTCTGGACTTATTTTGGGAGAATTCGTGGATACATTATCTAGGCCTTTTGCTCCAGATTTTAGAGATAGAGCTAATAAATTAGCTTTATATTTTTTGATTATCGCTCTTAGTTCTTGGATTATTAATATATGCTAATTTTATTTCTTTAGCAGGTAATTAATTATATATCTATCAATTTTGATTATAATATTATTTTTAAAATTTAAATAATAGAGTAGGAGAAGGTTTAACATTAAAAATAAGATAAGAAGTATTTAAAAAAATGTTAAAAATGCCTATGAATTGGTTTGATTAAACTAATAATAATCCGGGTAATTTAAGTTCTAGATTAGCTACAGATGCTCATTTAATAAATTCTTTAACATCTAATGTTGTTTCTATTTAGACATAAAATTTATCTTCTTTAATTACTGGTATAGTTGCTGCATTTTTCTATTCTTGGAGAGTTTCTTTAGTTGCGATTGCAGTTAGTCCTTTAATGATTATTTCAGGAGGTATATAAGCCAAATTTGTTTAAGGATTTTCAGAAGGAACTGATGAAGCTTATAAAGATTCAGGAATGATTATTATGGAAAGTGTAACTAATATAAGAACTGTTTATTCATTTTCAAATGAAGAGAAGTTATTTGAAATTCTCAATTAAAAACTAGAAAAACCTGCATTAATTTTAAATAAAAAAGGATATGTTTCAGGAATAGTAAATATTTTTCATTTTTAAAATAAAAAAAATATTAATTTTTATTGTAAAAAAAGATGTTTGGTTTATCATAATTTATAATGTTTAATGTATATGGTATTATATTTTATGTTGGCGCTATTTTTGTAAGAGATAACGGTGTCTCAGCTAAAGAAATGTTCGTTTCTATTTTTTGTATTATGTTTGCTGCCTTTGGAGCAGGTATTAACTATAAATTTAAATAATTATAAATTAATTTAAAAAGGCAATTCAAGCCATTTTATGGGTGATGTAGGAGCAGCTATTAATGCTGCAGTAGGATTATTTAAAATACTAGATTCTGAAGATGAAATACAAATATCTTAAAAGAAATGTAATAATTAAATAAAATAAAGAATTTTAGGAAATATTGAGTTTAAGGATGTTAGTTTTAAATATCCTAGTAGATAGGCTATGGTTTTTAAGCATTTATCATTCAATATTAAATCAGGATAAAAAGTAGCATTTGTGGGATCAAGTGGATCAGGAAAATCATCAGTTTTATAACTTTTACTAAGATACTATGATAATTATACAGGATAAATATTAGTCGATGGAAAAGATATTAAAGAATATGATATTAGAGAATTTAGAAAAAGCTTTGGAGTAGTGAGTTAAGAACCAGTTCTATTTAATGGAACTATAGCTGAGAATATATAATATAATACTGATGATATAAAAATAGAAGAAATAAAGGAAGCAGCTAGATAAGCTAATGCTCTTAAATTTATAGAAGATAATTAATTTGAGTTTATAGATGATAAAGGAGCAATTAGTATTGGAAGTGGATTTGATAGATAAGTAGGAATCAAAGGAAGTTAAATATCAGGAGGATAGAAACAAAGAATAGCTATAGCTAGAGCCATTATAAAGAATCCAAATGTTCTACTTTTAGACGAAGCTACTTCTGCTTTAGATGATAAGAATGAATAGATAGTTTAAGAGGCTCTTAATAATTTAATGAAGAATAAGACTAGTTTATGTATTGCTCATAGACTATCTACTATTAAAGATAGTGATTAAATATTTGTTATTGAAGAAGGGAAACTTGTTGAATAAGGAACTTATTAAGAACTTATGAATAAAAAATAATTTTTCTATAGACTTAATAATGTTTGATAAATTTTTTTATTAAAATAAAGTATTATATTTTATATAAATTATATATTATAAATAATTTATGTATTTTATAAATATCAATATAAATATTTATATTTTTTATTTTTTTTGAGTTCTTCTATTGTTGCTTTTTTAAAATATTTTGGTATGTTTTTTATTAAATATTTTCTATATATTTTTATAATTTTTTAGTTTTAAGGAAACCAAACTTTAACTTATTTAAATATTAAAAAATTAATTATAATTTTATCATTTTATAAAAATAAAAAAAGATACTATTGTTTTTTTAAATAATTAAATATCTTGATTAAGACTATATTAATTATAATAGTATTAATTTTATTTTATAAATAATTTTTATAAGGATAAAATTTCATTTATTTTTAAAGGTATAAAATTATTAATTAGAATTTAAATTAAAATAAATAAACAATTAATATATTATATTTAAAAAATAAAAATATTTTATACATTTAAATAAGATAAATGTAATATTTTTTTGAATGCATATAAAAAAAAAAAATTCTTAAGTGCATTTCTTTTACCTTTAAAATTATTATAAAGATTTTATTTTAAACAAAATTTCGTATATTATTTTATTTCAATAAATATATTTCTGAAAAGAATATATTTTATAAAAAATCATATTTATTTAAGCTTACATATGTTTTATAAAAAATATAAATTCAGTTTATTTACTTATTTAAAATAATTGATTTGTATAAATACTTGAAATTATATATAATTATGAAATTTTTATAATCTAAATCTATAAGAATTATTTAAAAGTAACATTTTCAAAATAAATATATATAATGCTTTAAATAAACATAATTTTATAAGAAATTTTTATAAAAATTCAAATGAAATATTTAAATATTAATAACGTATAAATATTTTTTTTTTATTAATAATTAAATTTAAAAAATAAGAAAAATTATTTTTTACTTTTTATTATTATATTTTATATTATAATATATTTTAAAATTAAAATATAATTTATTTTTGAATTTAAATATTATTATTTATTTTGTATTTATTTTTTGGAGGTTTTTATTTTATTTAAAATAATAATCAGAGCGGGTTTATTAATTAAATTTTCAGTATTTTTTTTTAAATTTCGTTAAATTTAAAAATTAAATGTAAAATAATAAACAGAAATATTTTTATATAGTTTAAATAATTTTCTAAATAAATATAAAAATTATTATTTTTATCAATTTTCATACTTATTTAAATAAATTATTATTATATTTTATCGAATTCTAATTAATAGAATTCTTTTTTTCAACAAAATAACAAACATAAATTTCTATTTTATTTTTTTCTGTATTTAAAAAATAAAAAAATATATATAATTTAAATCAAACGAATATCCTATTTTTTAAATTTTTTAATATAAATATAATAAAGTATTATCTATAAATAATTTATACAAAAATTAATTAATAAAAATAAATACAAAAACTTTACTTAAAAAAAAAATAAAAACCTATAAAAAAAAAACCATACATATACAAACAATGTTTTTAAACTCTTTATTATAAGAATCCTTTCTTCATACTAGCTAATTTAATAAATCTTAAAATCAAATAAAAAAACTCAAAACTTAATTTTCTAAATAATTATTAAATTAATTATCCAATAAACCTAAATTAGAAAATGCTAAAAAAGAATAAGAAAATGTTATATATTATGAAACACCTAGAAAAACTATAAAAATTAAAAAGGAAAACAAAGATTAATAATATCTCTTAAGTGCTCCTAAATAAAAATAAATAAAAAATAAAAATTTTACTAAATAATAAATAAGTGATTTTGATATTGAAGATAGATAATAAACTATTAAAACTACTTTATTAATAAATGATATAATAAATAACCAAATAAATATTATTTGAAAGGATAGAGCTTTAGGCCTTTTTTGATCTTAGAATTTTATTTCTAATGTTACATAAAGGAAATACTCTAAACCCATTTTTAATTAAGCAATTTATATTAATTAATAAAAAACATAATTTAAAAAAATATTTGTGAATTGTTATATTTTTTTTCTCTGTATTTAAAATAAAAACTAAAAAAATTTAATAATATCTCGTTTAAAATCATTTTTTTTTATTTGAATATACAAAAATTTATTTTATAAATATATATATTATTTATACTAAAAAATATATTTTTTAAAGAAATTTTAATAAAAAAATTTAAAAAGCATTTTCTATTATAAAAAAGTCTTTATCTTATAAAATATAATTGTTTTTAATTTCATATAAAAATTATAACCGCTAAATATTTAATAATATATATTATATCTTATTTTATTTATATACATAAATTAATCTAATTTAAAAATTTAAATTTTTATTTATTATTAAAAGAGATACAATAATCATATTTAATATTTTTTTAATATATAATTAATAAATAAATTATAATAAATATTTTTATTAAAAATAATTCATATATTTTAAATAATATTATACTTTTAATTAATTTAATAATTATTTTTTAAAAAAATATTAATAATACATCAAATAGTTAATAATTATATTAGAACATATATTTATAATAATTTTACGTAATAAATTAATGATTCATAATTATATGACAAAAAAATATCATCTATAACATATTATTATAAAATAAAATAATAAAATTAAATTACATTATTAATGTATTTAAATAACTTAAATAATTATATATTAAATATTTTATATATATATTCAAATTTTTTATTTAAATATACATTTTTTTTTAAATTTATTTTATTATTATTTTAAAAATTAATAATATATTTGATTATATTTTAAAATTCATTTTTTTATAATAATAAATTTTTTATACATGATATAATTTTTTTTTTTTAAAGAACATTTAAAAATAAAAAATAAACTTAAAATAATAAATACTTAATAGTTATATTTCGATTTTAATGAATTAATTAATAAAATTATTCAAAAAATCTTTAAAGTAGTTTTAAAAAAAACAAATATATTAAAATAAAAAGTTTCATTTTAAATTCTAATGAAAATAATTTAACAATTTCTTAAAATTTTCAATAATATAAATATAATTAATTATATTATTCAAAAAAAAATTGAAAAATCAAAGTTCTAAATTTCAAACCATTTTTTTTTAAACAACTTTTAGAACTTTTTTTAATTTTTATTTTTTTAGAATTTTCAATATTTGGAATTTATCAAATTTTTTTTTTCCTATCTTTCGATATTTTTAATTAACTCAATAATCCATATAAATGCGCATTTTTATGGTTTTACTATATCAAATTATAAAATCTCCAGAAATTATTTTTCTAGTCATCATAAAGCACACTATTTTCTCTCCTATTACTCCTTATACCGTTTTTTTTTTTCTTTAGCTATTTTATTATTCAATTAATTAGGATTATTATAATCCAATCATCATACTTCATTTCTAATTATGGTTTAGAAATATTATTTTTAAATTATATAATGATAATAATTCCCTTTATATTATTCAAGAGCTTATAGAAAGCTTTAGTAAAACGAATCTATAACCATATAAAAAAAATTAAGAGCTTATTTTACTTTGTGTAGACCATAAATGAATTTATAATTTTTCCAAATATTATAGAAGTTATAGCAAATAGAATTCCACTTCCAAAGAAACTAAATAATAAATATTTTATTCTTCTTTTTTTTAAATAATTTTAATTAATATTTTTGAATATATTTGTCTGTTTTATTTTTTAATTATTTTCAATGTCTTTTTATAATCATGTGATATTAATTAAATGTTTTTATTAAAAAATTGAAAGAAATAAATCAAATTATTTTATTTAAAAAGAAATATACTATTATATTAATAATAAGCCTTTTTTTATTAAAATAAATTATTATTAAAATCTAATTTTATTTATTCATTAAAAAAAATAACATAAAATTTTATTTATAAATTGTTATAACCTTAATTACGTATTTTTATCTTAAAATAAATTTGTTTATTTTATAATTTACTAGTATTATAAAAAATTATATTTTGTATTCTCTAAATATAAACTAAATACTTTATTTTTATATATATAAAAACTTCATTTGGAATTTTAACTAAAATTTGTGATTATCTTGATGCTAATATTAAATTAAATAAATTATGATTTATTTGAAAATTACAATTTTTTGTATATTATATATTTGATTTTATTTTATTTTTATTTTAAAAAAAGTTTATTTTTATTTAATCTTCTTTTTTTTTATAATAAGAATTTAAGTTTATTAATATCTTTTTCTTTTCTAAAATAAAAATATATAAAAAATTATATAAGAATGGCAGAATAAAGAAATTGTCCAAAATTAGCAACTGATGCAATATGCATTAAAAAAAATTAATAAACAAATAAAAAATAAATATTATTAATCACAAGAAAAAAAAATCCTTAAATGGGTTGCTTTGCTTTACCAGGAGGACATGTTGAATATGGAGAAGATCCATAAATATGTGTTTTAAGGGAGTTAGAAGAAGAGTGCTAAATAGTAGGAAATAATCCCAAATTATACGATGTAAGAGGAAAACCAGATCGTGATGTTAGATACCATGTTGTATCTATTATATATTGGGTAGAAATAGATAATAATAGTGAACCAAAAGCAGCTGATGATGCTGCTTCTGCTTCTTTTTATGATATTGATTTAGTAAAAAAAATTACTAAAGAGAAATTTGCATTTGATCATTATGAAATGTTATAAGAAATAATATAAATAGTTGAAAAATAGTAATGAGATATTTTTTAATTTTAAGATTATTAAAAATATTAATTAAAGAAAATATAAATATATATATGTATAAATATATATATATTTTTATATATTTTTATATATATTTATATATAATATAATAATTTATATAAATTTATTTTATTATTATTTTTCAATTTTAAATTTTAATTTTTATTTATTAAGATTAATAATAAAAATGTTATAAAAATATTTCTTCTTAACATTTTTTACATGTTAAACTTTATAGTATATATTTTATTCAAACTCAAACAAAGTAAATATTTAAAATAAAAAAATAAAAAAAAAAAAAATTATTAAAGAAAATAAGAATAAATCATATAATTAAAATTCATATTAATAAAAAAATATTAGGAATATGTTTATAATTAAAAAATCCTTTTTTATATTAACGAACTAACATCATTTAATTCTTAAATATCTCTACCTCCAACATTAATACCTTTTTGTCAAAAATTAACATAAAATATAGAAAATAATAACATATATGAAATACTTTTAGGATAATATAATTATGTGACAGGATTTTAAGTATATATATATATATATATATATATATATATATATATATATATATATATAATTATATATTAGATAGATTTTAAAGAGAAAAAAATTTGATATACAAATGTTCAAGAAATTATACTGACTAAGAATTATTTTAAATAAAAGAATTAATTGATAAAAATTATAGAATAAATATGTTGTTATAAAAAAATATATATATATATATATTTAAATATATAGAAATTTTGACAACATTCCATTATAGTATGAGTAAAGCAAAATATTAGGTCTTCCTTTAGGTTAAAATGATGTATTTAAAAAAAACAAAAATATTTTTTTCAAATATATATAATTAAAAGAATGGTGTTTATTATATAAATAATTACATTTAATTTGTATTAACTGTATAAAATTTATAAAATAATACAGAAAATTAAAATAAATTTTAAATAAAAATGTTTAATGCACATCCTTATAGTGGTTTACCATAAACTATAAATAAATAAATTTTAGTTAATTCCTTAACTTTTTATTATGAGTTTATTTTATATATAAGTCCTTAATAAAATTTATTTAGAGAAAAATAATTTATATAATATTAATTTAATTCAAATATTTTTGAATATTTCATAAACTTGATTTTTCCTATGATAATATTTACTATAACTGCATTAGAAGTATTTTAAATTATAAAAAATATAAAATTAAGTTAATAATAATACGAATAAATACCTTAAAATGTTATTTAAAATAATAAAATAAATAATTAAAAGCCTTTTTGGAAACTTTTAGGCTCAGAAATATTAAGAATACCCGAAAAAATGATTTTTTTAAGCTTTTTAGTTGGATAAGGGATTTAGTTAGGAATATGCTTTTCAATATATTAATTTTATTTGTCTTTTTATGAAATAAAATAATTAGATATAACAGAAAGACATTTTTATATAGATTTATTTGCAAAAATATATTTTAAATGCGCTTTTATGAATGGATTTTTATCTAGTTTTTTTTATAAATTTTTTAATGTAAAATAAAACTTGTTTTTTATAAAAAAATAAATAAAAAAAGGGTAAAAAAAAAGTATTTTAAATGATTTTAAATCCAATACAAAATATAATTTAAGTACTTTTTGTAATCTTTTTAATATAATTAAGTTAAAAAATGTAAATTTAATAAATTTTAAAATATTAATGTTATATATTTGAAAATTTTGGAATTTATTTAATATTAGCAGTTCTATTTGGAAATATTTTAGGTTGTTTTTAAAAAAATGAATGGAAAAATATAGAATTAAATCCTGTTCCTTATAGTTTAACGAATAAGAATTAGAAAAAATTTATTTTAAAAAGAAGTTGTTCAATTAACTTAATAAGTTTTATGTAAAGCAAATTAAAATAAATAAAAAAATTAAATATTTGATAATATTAATATTTTATATATATATATATTTATATATATATATATATTTATATATATATATATTTATATATATAGAGGATATTATAATTGGTAATGGAAAAGTTTTTGGTCAGGCGCTGGTGTGGGAATATATTTAATTATTTTTAGTATTTATTATTTAGGTTTATTTCATTAATAATTAAATAATGAAGGATTTATTTATTTATTTTTAATGATTTTTATTTTATGTTATTGTATTGCTTTGATTTGTGGAAGTTATAGCTTTTTAATTAATTATATTTTCATAAAATTTTCTTATTAATACTTAAAACAAAATAATTAAATAAATATTTGAATATAAAATATAATTGTTTTAAATGTTTAAATAAAATTATAATTTTTCTATTTTTTTAAATTTTATTTTATATATATAAAAAAAAATATGTTATTAAATTTTATTTATATATTTATTTTTTATTTTATTGAGTTTATTTTTAAATAAATATTAAATATTTTAATATGTATATCTATATAAGAATTTGATTTTATTTTATTTGTATTTTTTTTTTTTTTAATTTTTTTAAATCAAAAAGGAATTATTTCGAAGTCATTTTAATTAGGATTTATTTTATGTACTTATTTTTTATTTTTTTTCTTTATTTTTTTAATTTCTTAATTATTTTATTAAATAATAAAATCATCTATATTTTTTTAAGATTATTAGGATAAATTAATACCATTAGATGAGTTATCGATTAATATTTCATTAAAAAGAGATATTCTTTCCTCCGATTAAAAATTTAGTTCTTTTTTAAATTAAGTATTATTAGTTATATCTACAATATCTGTATCTAATTAATCATCTTTTGTATTTAAGTTTTATTTTACATGTTTTCTTTTATTTTATCTTTATTAAATTTAAAGTTTTTGTTTTTCGATTTCATCGTTAATAATTTTAATATTGTAAATCTATCCTTAATTATGTTAATTAATAATTTAAAATGCGGATTCTTTTGTATCTTATTAATGTAAATATTTAATATTTAATTCTATTTCTTTTTATCTTTCATTATTTAATAAATATTAATTTTTTTTATACTTTTCATCATAAAAGAACTATTTAAACAAGAAAATAAATAAATTTATATATTTATTTATTTTATAATTTTTTTAAAAAATAATAATAATATATAAAAAATATAAATATATTTATATATAAATTATATTTAATATATATATTTATAATTACTTTAAATATATACATTAATTTTATATATAAAAATGTAAATATACATATAAATAAATATATATATATATATTTTAATATATTATATATTATATATTAATTACATAATCTCCTTATTCTTTTTTTTATTTTTCTTCTGCAATTTTTTTATTAATTTATGCTTTTTCTATAGCGTTATTTACATTTTATTTTAATAATAATTATTATAGTTTTTTCTTAAAAATTATATATTTATCATCTTATTTGTTTTCATAATATTCTATTGCTTACTTTTTATTTTAAATACAATAATTATTTAAATATATATATATAAAAATGCTTTTTTTATTTTTATTTTTTTAAAAGTTACTGAATATAATTCAAGAAGACGATTAATTTAATTAATATTGACATTTTAATATTCTAATTCTAATTCTAAATTAAAAACTTCATCTGCGAATTTAGAAGATAACTCATAGTTATTGTTATTGTTATTGTTATTGTTATTGTTATCGTTTTTTGTTTTTTAATGTAAATTAATTACTTTGTTGACAATGTTTTGAAACATAATTAAACTATTTATAATATTATAGTGTATATTTATTTTTTTATTATTATTTATTATTTTGTTATTGCTAAAAAAAAAAGAATTAAAAAAAAAACAAATATAAAATTTAATATATTTTTTAACAAAAAAAAAAAAAAAAAAAAAAAAAAAAAAAAACAATTAAATAAAATTAAAAAATTTAAATTATATATATTCGATTAATAATATTCAAAAATAATTTTCTATTACTATTTTTTTTTTTTTTTTCAAATAAAGAGCATAAAAAACAAAGCCTAGTTTTTATATTCCATTTTAACTAAAAAGATAATACAAAAAATCCAGCATTTATTTTATTAAATATAAAAATAAACAATATACATATATATAGTCATAATATTTTTATTTTGAAATAATAAATAAATAAGTTTTTAAATATTAAAAGTACAAATGCATTCCAAATTATTATTTATTATATATTGAATATTAATTATATATATATATATATATATATTAAGTTAAAATTGAAATTAAAACTTTCTTCTATGAATTATCAAAGGTCTTTATTTCTTATAAATCTATTTCCTTCTGAATTTGCAGTACTCATTTTAATTGTTTTTTTTGTATATTTTGGATCATAAACTATTTTTCCATTAAATGTATCGTTGTCCTCCTGTATTTTTTTATTTTTTTTTTAGAAATTTAATGATTTTAGTTGATTAATTTAAAATAAAATATATAGTAATAAAATTTTGTGTATTAATTTTAAATTATCGGCATACTTCTTAATTGATTTTTTAATTTTAGCTATTTTAGATTTTGGAAAAACTATTATTATTTGTTTTTGTCCCTTAATCCATTTTTTTTTAAATGTATATTTTTAATATTTTGTATATATTTCTTTTTTTTATATATAATTTTATAAAAAATATTCATTAAAGAAATATATAATTATTTATTATTTTTTATTAATAGAAAATAGAAACTTTATAAAAAATATAGTATTTGTAATTTTTCTATAATTAAAATATCTAAAAATTATCAATAAAATAATAAATTGATTTTTATTATAAAAATAATGTTTAAGCGAATATTTTTTTTAATTTATAACTTTAAATTTTTTTTTAAAAAAAATGAGAAAATGATTATACAATAATAAATAGGGTTTTTGTTTATTATTTATTTTATGTTTTTAATTTTAATTTTTTTTAAAAAATAAATTAATTCTTAAATATAAATTTATTTTAAATAATAATATCTTTATAGTATTTTATTTAATATTTAGTTTAATTTTTTAAATGATAAGTATTT